TATAGACCCTTGTATGAAATTGATACTGGCTTTCAAAAGCCATGTTCCCCTGGAAGTGATATGGCAGTAATTTGCGTGACCGCTTGTGAATGTGACTTGTGGAAGTGTAGCTCCAGGGAGCTGTCGCTCACAGTTGGCCACGGGGTGTAAATACAGCACCTGTGTACGCATATCTTTCCAAGTGCATTAAATGCATGATAGCAGCAGAGTTTCTCTATTAATTTCTTTTCTGTTCTTCCACTTCTAGTTCCTTTTCTTACTTCCTCTAACTTGTTAATCTTTTGTCACGACTTAAATAATTTCTTATCCAGAAGCTGTTTAAAATGCTCTTCTAATATGAATGCTTGCAGATTATTAAAAAATGCTCCTCTCATTCTGCATGGAAGGATAATGGTGAAATGCATCTTCACAGCCTAATGCAGCTTTTCTGATAGCTTAGTTCAGGTTATATTACCTCTTCGGGGAGGTCACTGAGCACTTCTTATTCAGTCCCTTACTCTGTTATTTGTGACTTTGTAGAACCAGCCACTTCAGCCCAAACATCTCACAGCAGGTACTTGTGGCAGTGTCTGTACGTGCACCATGTAAATGTTCAGCCCCGTGCCACTCTAGTGTCCTCTGCTTTTGCGCATCTTTGGTATTAGGTGCCTGACACCAGTTGTGGTGCTGACCTTTAGGTGTCAGGCACATTCCTCTTGCTATGACAAACCAAGCTAGAAGCCATTGAAAACTCACTTTAATGATTGTTGGTAGAAACTGCAGGGCTTTGTGGCTTAGCTCCCTCAAAAATGTTCTCCATGGTGAACAGGATTCTTCTGTAACTATTGAGTCTGAGTTATTGCATGTCATTCCTGGGTTTGGATACGCAATTGAGGACTGGAAATGTCAGTCCTGTGTGCTCTCGAAGTCCCCTCGCAGATGGTCAGACCGTGCCGGGAGGTGAGGTTTTATGCACCTTGGCTGGGAAGCAGGCAGGGTGGTTAGGACTGGAGATGGGACTGATAGGAAGTGAAATAGCAGCAGACTCAAAGCTAAACTTGAAAATATTAAGGCTCACTGAGCCAATAGGTCAGGAACGAGGGGGTGAGGGGATGGAAAGGGACTGGAGTCCAAAGGGCTTGTGGGGAGGTGACGGATGTATGAAAGCTGCATTGGAGAAAGAACTTGTAGAAAGGGGAGATGTCTGCTGAAGGGGTAGTAGGGTTGTGGCTGGGCAAGGAGACTGAGAATTTGACGAAAAACATGTTAGAAAAAGGTGGAAGTGGGGAAGAAACAATATTGGCACAATGTTAGGAATGGAGGTATATCTTGTGCATGGTGCTGTAACTATAGCATTTTGTAGCATCTGACACTTCACACATGTTGTGTGAACAAGTTTTAGCTGCAGAAGGCTTAAAACGGCAGTTTCCTGGTAACTGCAGAGCTTTAGGTAACATTCAGACAGAATTTTGTGTTCCTTTCTCGCCCAGAATCCAAAATACTAAGCTTTAGGACAATGCAACAAGCAAATGCATCAATAAATATAGAATAGTGGAAGAAAAATCTTGTGCATGCATCTATCGTTTACCGTTGGTCTCAGTATCCAGCTTAATTTGTAGTCATTGATTGACAACAAAAGTGGAGGTTATATAGCCATAATCGTAGTGTACTTACTGAGCTAACAAGATTAAATCTGAACTACTACAGGACTCTCTTAAGCTTCAGTGATTTTTCCTTTGTTTAACTTCTTCCCTGAAACAAGATTACCTCTTGTTCAAAGAGTTTCTTTTAGTGTTAAAGCCAGCTTTAGTCAAAGCAATTACCTGAAATAGCTCTTGAAAATAAAATATTGCTGTACATAATTTGTTGACACAACTTTTAAAAAGTGGAGATTATAACTGGCTTGAATAAGGACTATATTGATAATACCACAAGTAGTAATACATTGAAAGAAAAGATGTATTATATGTATTAAACCCTAATGGGATAGCAAATAACTAGTACCCTTCCTTGCAATAAGCAAGAATCAATGCTGCTGTGTTGCTTCTGTAAATTTCCCAGCTGAATTCCTTTTCTGGAAACTTTATCACAGGATTATAATTACTGTGTTGCACAAGGCTGTCTGTTTTGCCAGTCAGGTGTGCTACGTAGCACCTGCCTGGGCAGTGCCTGCTGGAGGGAGGGAATGCTTTGGGGCACAGGCTGCATGGAACTGCATCTTCTCATGTGCTGTTTTCTTTCCCAGCCAATCTCTTGATGTGCTGCCCCTCAAAATTTTGGTGGTGTCTTTCCACCTATTGTATCACAGTGATTGAAGGTCAGACTTTAAAATTATTTCTGTATGCGTAGCTGAGACAGACCAGCTCGGGCAACTGGTGCTGACCTCAGAGAGTAGAGTATCAGCTGAGATGCAATCAATATCAAGATATCTGATCTTTTTTTTTTTTTAAAGGAAAAAAAACCATGGAATAACATAGTTAATGCCCAGGGTGTAGGATCATGGCACTGGCCTGTTTCTGTGAAAAGGGGACAAAGTCTGATAACAGTCAATGCAGCAACCTTGGCTGAAGCGGGATGTCACAGCTACATTCTAAGCAATGCAAGAGCAACATAAACACCTAGTATATGAGAGAAAGCAAACCCAGTCATGGTTCGGAAGTAGAAGGAGACAGTCTGCATTCAGGCAGGTGTGTACTTACTTCTGGCAAAGCCTCTGACAGCTGACCTATTAATTTCATTTTTGCTACCACAAAATGGCTATCCCTCTTACAGAGGGAAGGCTAAAGGACCTGGTCAAGCACTTGGAGCAGTTGAGGAGGAAAGTACTGTTGCTGTTCTAATGTAAGCTTGCCAATACTTCTTCAGTGATTGAGGAAGCCTGGCTGGATCTATTGCTTTATTAACTATTTCTTTCACATGAATCCCTAAAATGCTGTCACAGACATTAGTCTTTTGGCAGGAAGGGCTCTTGAATTTAAAAAAATGCTTAAGGAGAAACAGTTACATGCAAGTTGAGCAGCCCTGTGTGTTCTGCAAGAGGAAACTGAAGCTGTCCTAAAGTTGAGAACAAATGTGCAGCCCAACTGTAGATACTTAAATCACACCTGATCCTTCTGTAAAGAGGCTCTTCTGTGGTGTTGGGGCTTACGGTAGGAAGGGAGATATTTACAACAACATTGTACATAGCTCTTTAACCCAGCAGGCTGCCACTTCTAACAGAAAACTGTTTTTTTGCCAACACATTCATGGTACATAGGTAGACATGGAGAGAGGAAAGGCAGAGTAAATAACTTACATTTCAAATAAGCTGGAAGAGTAGCACGCCTATAGGGAAACAGATGGCTTTCTGTATGCTTATATCTTCTGAAATTGTGAAATTACACGAGTGACTTCTGATCGTATCTTTCTATGTGGAAGTGATTTGTTTTAGAATAACTTTAATTTAATGTGAAGTTCCTTTTCATTCTGGCATGGACATCATCCAGGTAATACTTGCAAGCCCTAGTCTTTTAGATCCTAATTGGACTTTGGACAACAGAGCATAGATGGCATGATAATGGAGAGCTATCGATGATGGTTCTTGCTGACACTGTTCATTTATCTATGTCCCTTACAATGCCAACTGATGTGCCTGGCACGTTAGCTGTATCGCAGATGTTTTATTTTAGCCAGCTCGCTATGCTAGAAGGGTGACCGTGATTATAAGACTTTCACTCTTTTTCAGAGTGTATTAAGTCTATTGAAAAAAGAGCAGAAAAACTCAGACTTTCCACTATTGTTCCTGAATTTTATTTAGTTAAAAGATAACGTAACGTTTGTGTGGTGTAAATAGGATACTAATGTAAAGAAAAGTGGGTTGTGACTTTTCACTAAATCTCAAGTGACTTGCAGTTGTTCAGTTCAGGTTTATCTAAAACAACCAGATTTTCTTTAATGTTTTTGTATTACTTAAATAGTGCTAAAATAATATTGTCAGCTGTTAAATTTTCATCAGGACATACTGAATCCACCTCGTCAGGAACAACATGCTGTATGCATTTGAGTGGTGTTTGTTGGTCTATATCTGGGAGGCTTTTATCTCTTAATATCTTGTTTCCTAATCCTGTTGCTCGTATAAGTAACATTTCATAGCTCTGTCCACAGCTGAGAGAGACTTTGATCTCTACTGTGGTAGAAAATTTTGTACTACTTTTCCCACAGATGCGGTTTCTGTTATCTCTTACTACTTTCTCTGTCGTTTTTTAAGCTAAAAATTTCAAGCCCTACAAATTTAAAGGTGCCTACGTAAATTTTTATAAAACTGAATTATATAGCAGACTTTCGAGAATGCTGCCTCCCTTTTCAAGGTGCCTTTTATTGCTTTTGTGATTTTTCATTCTAATAGTCCGTTACCCTATTTTTGTGGCCATTTTTGTTTTCACTTGCTATTTTAGTTTTGAGCATGATTGTACTGAAGCAAACTGTACGTAATCCGTAGGATTACTGCTCTTCATCCATGCCATATATTTTGAGTAAATTTATGTTGGCCATAGTGTCTACTTTCAGAGTTAATTTTGGCAGTTTGAGGAGATTCTGTGGAATTGTGGCCATTTATTGAACGGTATTTTCCAAAGGATGTATCACACCTGAGATTCTTGAATATGATTTCACTGGAGAAGGATGGGATTTGTAGCTTTCAAGGCTTGAGAAACTCCCTATCACAGTCTGCCGGTTCTTTCCCCCTCCCACATTTTTAAGTGGAAATGTTCTGAACAAGGGGGAAGTGTGCATTAAACAGTAAACTGCTTTTATCTTAACAGAGAACATCAAGATTGCTTGCACATGTGCTGTTATGGTTCTATCACATTTTCAAAAAGGACTGTAACTCCTTTAAAAAATGTACCGTTCTCTTAAATTTAAGACTACAAAAACAAGCTACAAAAGTGCAGTCAATATGCAAGTGCACTCCTATAATCATTGCTCTTCATGATGGCCATCACCAGTGCTCCAAATCAACATGTGTGCATCAGTGCTAGCTAGCAATTTCCAAAGGGATTCGAGTAACAATGTTAGGGCAATGGAAGAAAATACGCCACAAAAATCAGCTTCAAGCATCTATATTTCAGATTTTCCCTGATCCCTGTATAAAACAAAAGCACAAATACAAAAATACAGCAAATAGCCCTCCGTGTCTGAAATGTCTAATACAGCCTTGAAAAACAATTGTGGAAAGGATGTGCTTATATCTGGCTCCCCACCCTCCTTCCAGGGGAACAGGGAGAGGCACTTCTTGTCCAAATTAAGAGATGCAACGACTTCCTGTACGGCTGCCACAATATAGATTCATCTGCACTAGTTTTCTTCAGGCAAGCAAAAGATTTTCTTCCTTGTTTCAGAAAAGATCCTTTAGCTGTTTGAATCTCCTTTGTTTTGTTATAGGTTTTAACCTGAGCTACGTTAAGCTGAGAATGCTTAAAAAGATCTTTTGTTTTGTTTCCAGCTGATATGTTAAACTGGATATTTTTTGTGGTAGACCTTTTGCTGAAATCCCATAGTCTGTGCTGAAGAACTCACTTCTTTAAAAGGAAAATTTTATGGGACGCTTCGTTTGAATTGCTGTAGGATTTGTAATGTTTTCAGAGCGATTATGCAAATAAATTTATTTGCATAAGTCTTGAAAAATCACTGTTTATCCCAACCATTTTTAGTAGCCAAAGATTGTTACACTCTTGGTGTTTGAAACGGTAAATATATTTGTATTGTAAGTTACTGTTGGCTCTAAATTTCTAAAATCCTTTAATGATATGACCAGAGCATCAGACTAAACTGTGTGTTTCCAGTTGAGTAAACAGAAAAGTCTTTCATCAGTTTCAGCTGCTGTACTGTGGAGTTATCTTCTGCATTGCATTTTGTACCTGTTGTACATAGCTCTGTGTGGCTTTCGGTTGTTCCAGGGTATATTACAGCATCAGAAGGGACAAAAGAAGAGCTTTGCATACTGTTGAATTCAGACATCTGGCGTTTGCCATTTCTGTTACTCTTCCTTTATACCATTAATACCTGTTTAGCTGACAACTTGAGTGCATCGTGTTTGCAAAACCATTTGTTTCTCTCTGAATATGAATGCACTTCCTTGCAGACAAAATGTGCATACATAAAAAGCTGATGTTGGCTGCTGGGGTTTTACAAGATCAGCTTTAATAGCGTCCTTTTTTCACAGTAGCCTGCACATGGCAGATAACTCTGAAATCTTGTTTTCACAATCTCCTTTGTTTAATTAGACTTCCCGCTGCAGTGATATTTGTGACTGCATTAGAAAGAAAAGAAAGTTACACTCCCCAGAATGACTGCTAAACAGCTGTTTCATAAATGCCTATAGCATATGAACCATATTCTAATGTTTTTCAGCCTGTAGGCAGGTATTGATTCAAATGTAAATTCATTGTTCTAGCTGCACTAGAGTTAAAAATAGCTTATGTTAGTGAGCCTAATTCTCGGGTATATAGTCACAGCTTTCAATGTGCGAGACTTTTTTTTTTTTAAAGACTTTCATAAGAATGCAGTTAGCTTTAGGCTTTATTAACAAGAGGATAGTGGCTTCCCAGTGCATAATAGTTAAGTAATTCAGCAAAACTTGGAGTTAGGTTTCTTCTTTTTTACCTGTTTGAACAACTTGCCATCTGTGTAAATGTATTTCCCATTTCAGTTGCAGATCGCCTGGGCTGTGACCCTCGAACACGTTTCCAAGTTCCACCAAACACCAAGCAATGGATTGCTTTACTGCAGCGAGGAAACTGTACATTTAGAGAGAAAATACTGAGAGCAGCTTCACATAATGCCACAGCTGTGGTCATTTACAACAATATATCCAGTGAAGAACCTGTCACGATGACTCATCAAGGTAAATAAAACTGAATCTCTTTCACTATAATTCTTTTTTGCCCGAGTACTCTTTTGCTATATAAACTATTGCTAAAGAGCTCTTGGCAGTACACAGATGATGCTATTTGAAATAGCCTGTTCTCTAATGCTGTTTACATGGATGCAATGTAGCGAAATAAGCCAATAATTCTGAAAAGCTGTTTTCCTTTAGCGTATGTTTTATCCAATGAGGAACACTTCCCTCTGCAGTGGGGTATGGGTGTTTTGGAGTGAGGAAATATCTGTAAGATCTTAGGAGCAATCCGTTTCAAACCTTTCTGAAGAAGAAAAGCTAACATATAATGGAAGGTCTAAAATTTTACATAGCATCTGTACCTGAAGAATTTTTATAGTAGCATGTCTTCAACTGACTGTTATGGTGGGGACTTTCAAATGTTAACAGTTACATCTGAGCTTGCATGCTTTTTTTAATGACAGTTTACAGAGGGTTTTTTTTCTACAATGTGTCTTTGAGTGCCACACAGGAATCAAAAAAACTTAGTGATTCAGAGAGCAGTTGCCTCTAAGTTGTCTAGAATTAGTCTATTGCTGGTCTAGAATAATGCTGAAAATCTAGATTTCTACAGATTTCTACTTTTTTAGGGCTATCTATGTGTAAAATTTCACTGTTACTAGTGAGTTACTTTAGCCAGTGGGAGCCTCATACATAAACATTTTCCTTGGTTAAAAATGATTTTCGCAATTTTGATAACTACATTTTTTGTTTTTCCCGAAGGTTTTCTCAATTTGGAATTATTTAGCTTAACCAGAAAAGGTATATTTCTATATTTGATGGCTGTACTGCTAGCCGATCTTTTTTTTTTTCCCTAGAATATTTTCAGTCCTTTTTCTTTAAGCATAGGGGGTTGCTTGGAAACTGGAATTTCCTAATTATTGCTCTGCATACTGTCACACAATTAGAATTGAATTCTTTTACTAAAAAAGTGCTATGGTTGCTTCTTTCTCGCTTTTTTACAAGGGAAATGTCTTGTGGTTGCTTCTGGTTTAGTGAGGTTTGACCGTCCCAATGCTGTATACCACAGGAATTTTCCAGGGAGATTTTGACCTCTGTGTAGCACTTCAAAGCCTGTTGAAAATCCATTTTTCTCTTAGGTACCTTCCTTAGACATTTTTGCAAGCAATCTGCAGGCAAAAAGTCCCATATTCTAGTGAAACACTTTTTACCACCTTCCTTTTGTGGTTTTTTGCCACTTCTCTCTCTGCTGATGTAGTACTCTCCTAAACCTTCAGCTCAGGTCTTTCTTTGAAATACCTGTAAGGTTGTAAGGTCTGCAGTCTGTTTGGCAATGATTTGTGACTAGTCTTGTGGCCTGGAATACCTTACTGTGGCATAAAAAAACTACCAATAACAATACATTGTTAAATGTATTGTTTGTTATTACATTACTATTACATGTTAAATCATATAATGGGTTTGTTATAACTTTAACGCCTTCTTTCTCATAATGCTGTTAGATTTGGCAGGTGCTTTCATAGCAGTGGGATGGTGTTTGTCTTTTATTAGGAAATCCTAGTTCACTCAGTGTTTCAGCTCTGAAGACCAGTGTGTTGCCTTTGAAACTACAGCAATAGGTCTAGTGGTCCTGGTAGGTTGAAATAATGTCTCAAGTTACAAAATGCGAGAGCCCCTATGGGTAAAATCATGTCTTGTAAGCTAGCCAGGCAACTGTTTGGATATTTGATATTTGGAAAAAAGCTAATACTGTCTTCAGCATGTTGACTTCCAAATATTTATGGCAAGCTTTAAAAAAAACATAATTACTGGAGATTATGTATATTTTTTCTTTGAGTATTTGAGATGCTGGTTTTTAGCTGCATGTACTCAGTCCCTGGTATACTGGAATCTCTGTCGCTGATTTGGGCTGTAGGCACTATCTCAAAATTAATATTGGACTTGAAGTGTTCAAACTATGCGACAGACTGAAAGTAATTATCTAGAACTCAAGTACCACCTTAGCACTGTGCTGTAATGAAGAGGAAAGTTGCTCCACAGCTTTTGTTTTGATTGCATTATGGTCATGGAAGGGATCTCCTTAGCAATCTGCGCTTTGCAGAGCTTCCTATAACTAACTTCCCGTTTGCTTGATGTAAGAACTGCAAGTGTGTGTAACTGAGATGTAGAGTAGTCCTTTGGTGTTAGCCTCAGCGCAGGGAGGGTTTGGGATCCAGCATTCCCTTTGAGAATCATTCCAAGTGGGATGTAGATTCATGAACCTATGCTTACGTGACGAGCCTATTCAAACAAATGTTGTATGTAAAGCAGTCTTACACACATTCAAGGCTCTCTGGTCTTTTTTTCTGCCTTTTCAAGCATATCACTGCTTGTATGCTTTTTAGGTGGTAAATGACCACATCATCTGCTAATTAGATATTCCGGTGCACTACATCTCATCTCTTTTTAGTATTTTCTATCCCTAAAGGTCAGGAGGAGTTGACCCTGTGTATTTGATAGCTGTTCTGCTGCTGATTCAGTTAAATATGTGTTAAATAGAGTTGATATAAAGTGAAAACGAAGGTGAGCCACCAAGTTGGTCTTATTTCCATGTGATGTCTAGGGCTCTGCAGTATTCCTCTATTCTTTTAAAAATGCATTCTTCACAAGACAATTTTGCAACTGTATTATGATGACCAGGTTCATGGCTCTACGTTTTCTTTCTGTAGACAACTAAAAATAGACCTTGTGTTATTTTATCACTGTAACATAACTTTTATACTGCTGCGTACCAAACCTTAGGAATATTCTGTCTTCCTGGTGAAGCAGAGAGGAAAGCGGCAACTTCTGATAATGCACACTCTGTGAACTGCATGCTTTCCTACTTTGATATTTGCATGAATTCCAATCACCAGCTTAGGTAACGTCTGTGCTAAAAATAAGTAAAATGTTATATAGATTTATGTATGTTGCCCACCTGCAGAGAGGCGTTTCCCTATGAAAAGAGCTCAGTAAGCAGTTCTCACCTATGGGATTAATATTTTATCCAAGTTATCTTATGCTTGAACACACATTTGAAAATTTTAATCTTATGGAAATTTGTTCATACTCAACATATTACTTAGCAGAATGCAAATTCCTTCTGGTGGCTAGATAACAACTGTCACTCTTGAATCGGTCTTTCATCACCATGTCAAATGGACAGTTTCTATTGCTAATATCAGAATTTCCTTTTTCTTGTGTGATAGTCCACTAAGTCTCTCCCCCATCGACTTCAAGTTGAGTTTTAAAGTAGATATTGACCCTAAGGAGTTGGTGAACTTTTTAAGTATATTTTTTTCTTTTTTCTGTTAATGTTATTTGCAACATTTTCTTTTCTCTGTGTATATCCTTGTATGTATTACTGTGTGCATGTAAAATAAACTTATTTTACGCATTCTTGTAGATGTCCTTTATCAACCTAAGTGAAGGACGTCCTTCCCAGCATAGGTTATGTTAGACTATGATATCACTGGCAGGAAGGCAGTGTTATGAGTGGTTTTGCTTGCTACTTCTGTTAAAGCAGAACAAATATTGTCTAATGTAAAAAAGAGCCTATGTGGTAGAGAAAATATGTAGTAGCTGTCTCCTTTATAATCAGTTATGGGAATAGGAAGGAAGTGCAGGTAAAATAGCATTTTAATTCTTTTTTTTTGTTTGTGTGTGGTGCAGACAGTCTTGTCAAGTACAAAATAGTTAAATTTTATGTTGAACTTATCTATTAAAATCTAGACTTTTATTTGGATTTATAGAAAAGAATATAAGCCAAAGAAGCCTCTAAAGTTAGAATTTCATACTCAGAATTTATGGAACAAATATAAATAGAAAAATATAAACAAATATAGAAGACTGTCAAAATGAAGCTGCTGGATTCCAATAACTACTGTTCATCAGTGCTGAAGAAATTTCCTGAAGGGTTTAAACAATTCTAATTAATATCTTTTTCAGAGGATTTACCTGATACAGGTAAATCTTCTGAAGTCTTTAGGACAAGTTGCAGACATCTTTCTCAGGATCAGTCTTCATTGCACTTCTAAAGAAACGATGCATTCGTTCTTTGCAAGAAGTTGTTCCATGATGTGCGCAGAAGATGACGCTCCCCTGCCGGAGTACTGGGGGAGGGCTGCCCAACAGTGGCTCCCTGAAAGAGTTTCCTTTCAAGGGGAGGATTTCTGATGGCCCTCTGTTTGCTTAAAAAGCACGCTAGCAGAGGAAGCAAGGTCTGGACTTGCTTTGAACTGTGACAAAACTGAATGCATTTTATGTGGATTATTTTAGGTCACTGGGCCAGAGACAGGAGGGACAGGAAGTAATTTGGAGTTATTGCCATCTAATGGCTATTCCATGTTCTTGCCCTAATTCGGAGTGGGTAGAGTAGGCTGCAGAGATCAGCAGTCGAAAGGCCACTCTCCTCTGTTGTGGCACTCTCGCTGCGTGCAGCACATCTCTTCCTCTGCTGCTTGCCTTTTTCTTACAAATGTCTCTTTATGTAACTGTAAGCTGAACTGATGTGTGAAAGCTATGGCAGGGTGCGTGGCAGATTATCTTGCACAAATGTGTGCTGACGAATATTTTGGCTCTGTACCAAATCCACTGAAAAACTTCCCCTGGATTACTGAGGTCTACTTTTAATCTACAGCTCAAAACTAATTTTATTGTATATTACAATGTTGTTGTTATAACTTATTGTTATTAATTTACCCTGAAATATTAGTGAAAAGGAGGGAGAGGTGAGTCATTAAAGTTGAAGCTTTAAAAAAGACAAAACAATCAATAGTCTAACCATAGTTTACATATCTTTGATAATTTTGTATTGTTTATATTTGCTAATTGAAAATGTGAGGATCAAGTGTCAACAACATTAGAGTTAATCCTGTTTCCCACTGCGTTTCTTGGAGGTGTATCCATCAGGAAAATCTGTCATACAGTAGATGGAGGTGTCTGACACTTAACGGGATGTGGAGAGGAATGTGTTTGAAGCACAGATT